TTGCTATATTTATTGTGATGATAATTCTATATTATTGTGGATTACTAATTGTAATTATTTTAGAAGCTTATTACTATAATGTTAAGATTTGGTATATAAAGCTTATTGTTGAGGCATGATTAAATTGATAAGTTGGTGGTATTGTATTGTACATAATATCATGATGTGGACTTGTCATTTGATATGCCATTTTAGACTTGGAATGCTAAGACATGATTTGTGTGGTTTCAAAATACTTGTGCATGGAAGGTGGTTCATATGCCTTAATTATAGTGTATGAGTTTTGAACTTAATTGTGACTTGGGATTCTCTTGGGACATTGTTACAAGTGTTACAAGCGATATGACTAGAGTTTGGCTCTAGTACAGGAGATAGAGACATCTCTACAATATAGTGCGCACTAGGGGTGGTATTACGAGCGGGTTAGTGCCCGGAATAACCGTTTAAGTCTTGATTTATTCCGAGATGTGATGTTCAAGTTTTCCACTATTTGATTTCGCATTCGATTCCAAGTTGACAACAAATGCTTAATTGTAACTTGTAATTTTTGTTATTTGCAATTTGATGTTATTAAGTACATTGATATTGATTTTGTGTTGCTAAAGAATCATTTAAGATAGCTTAAGATGATCCATTAGAACACCTTGAACATAGACGTTAAGTGGAATGATCCCTTGTATTCGTCTATATTAATCTTGTAATGATATTGAAACTTTAGGGTATACGCATATGCTTCTTCCTACGAGTAACTTGATTACTCACCTTAGTTGTTTGGGTTATTTTACAGGTAAGGAGACTATGTTCTCGGATGTTCATCATCCTTAGAGGCTTATGAACAATTTGGAATATTTTTGTATTTTGCCATGCAAATGTTTAGCATACTTACTTTTGATGTTATATTTTTGCATACCAAGGATGTATGGTATTTTAAAAGCTAAGATGGCTTCCTTGATATGTAATGTGTTTCTAAGTACATTTTTTTATGCATAATTTGTATGTATAACAAGAGGCCAAGAGCCATCAGTTTTAAAAGTTCACAAGTATGTTTTTAAACTTGTTTCAGATCATTAGGAATGTATGTATAACCTCAAGGTTAGTCTTAAACTTGCTTTCTATTTTTTTGTTCGGCTGATCTCTTGTTTCTATTTCATCGTTCGACTGGTTCCTTGCTTTCTGTTTTGTCGTTCAGCTGATTTCTTGTTTCTATTTTGTTCTTCGGTAAATTGTTGATTTCTGTTTTATCGTTCGGCAGTCAGAACGCTTGACCCTTCAATCAGAACACCTAACTATGTAGGTCAGAACGCCCGACCATGCAAGTCTGAACGCTTAGCCGTAGGTCAGAACGCTTGACCCTTCCGTCAGAACGCCTGACCATATAGGTCAGAGCGCCTGACCATGCAAGTCCGAATGCTTGACCATAGGTCAGAACGCTTGACCATAGGTCAGAATGCTTGACCCTTCTATCAGAACGCCTAACCATATAGGTCAGAGCGCCTGACCATGCAAGTCCGAACGCTTGACCATAGGTCAAAACGACCGACCTTGATGAGTGCCGAACGGGTGCTCAGCCTTGATGAGTGCCGAACGGGTGCTCAGCACTGATGAGTGCCGAACGAGCGCTTAGTGCTTTGGCATTGGACAAATGCTCGTCCATGCCTTAGAATTCTTTCGCTTTGATCACATTTCGCTTCCGCATTTCGAATCCGTTAGCGGGTCATCTTTTGGACATCACTGACGCACCGGGTTTATAAAACTTGGGTCGTCACACAAACTATCTCGTCGTCACTTTGAGGATTTTCTTTTTGGTTTTCTTGACTTAATGTCCCCTGTGATTTTGTACTTTTGGTTAAATTCGTTGTTGTAGCATGGTGCGTTTCTTGATACAAGTATCTTGAGATGATGCTTATAATGAAATATGAAACTACTTTGTCATCTGAGTTAGGAAGTATATTGTTTTCTTCTTCGGACTCACTTCCCTCATCTTCTTGAAGGTTGTCGGGTATATCGGGAACATCTTCCCTATCACTATGATTTTTCATGCTAAGCTACATGTCGTGGGCTCAAGTAACAAGCTCTTCAAATGTGCAAGTCTTAATCCCTTGTAGGATGTAAAGAAGTTCCCAGCGCATGCCTTGCATACATGTTTCAACTGCAACCTTCATCTGTTTGTGTTTATAAGCTCCAGCATACTTACAGTACGACGAGTGCTATAGAAACGGTTGAGAAATTCTCGTTCCATCTACTCCCAACTATCAATACCTCTAGCTTTGAAGTCTGTATACCAATCAAATGCATTCCCTTTGAAAGAACAAATGAATTGCTTGACAAGGAGATCTCCGTTTGTACCAGCATTGCTGTAAGTTTCTACAAAGTGTGCGATATGTTACTTGGGATTGCCTTTTCCGTCAAATTGTTGAAACTTTGGAGGTTGAGACCCAACCAGCATTTTTAAGATATCAATTCTTTTCGTGTAAGGCTTTGAGTACATGCGAGTACTTTGAGAAACGCCACTGTATTGTTCTCTTATGCAATTCACTATTATGTCTTGAAGTTATTGGACAGAAAGTGAAGTGACAGAGGCAGCATCAATTGTTGGATTGCTGGACACGTCATTTTGATCATCAATTGGACTATTCGCTGGCATTGAATTAGAATAAGGAATTCGGCCTTTGCTTGACTCAGCATTATCGTCACGCAATTTTAACTTTTCTGTCAGCGAGGCAATTTTCAGATCTTGTTCCTTAATAGAGTGTTGTAATCTTTCAATTGCACGGGCCATAGTCGTCAATTGCTCTTCGTACAAGGTAGTACTCGTCTTCATGATTAGCATAGTGATGGAGTCAGAAAAAATCTTTGGCCTTGGGTGGACCAGCCTTGAACTTGAACTTGTGATTGGAACAACCTTTAAGGTTGTAGGAACCTTCCTCCTTGCCCCTAGCGAGGTGAATGCAGTATGAGTTTGAGTTGTTACTTTGACAGATTTGACGGAATCAACTCTCATTGCATTATGCTATCTTTTGGAAGGAACGGATGCTTTGACCATGCTCTACATCATTGAACTTATAAAGTTGTTTGTACCACTTGACGAAATTATAACCTTCTTGCCACCTTTTGTGGTAGTGATGATGTTGTCCATCATGACTGCGATATCCTTGGTGGTATTCTTGCTCTTCGTCTGAATCTTATTAGAAGTCATAGAATCTGACGATGAATTTGTTGAGGATTTGATGTAGGAGAAAGAGATGAGAGGCAGATGATGTCCCACTGGGCGTACCAAAAATTTGTATACATAAATTTCGTAGTCTGCAACTAAAGAACGAAATATGGGGCAAATAATAATTTATTGATTTATAAAAATTTGAATACAATTCTCTGAGATATTCTTTACAAAAGAAAAAAAATATCCTCTGATTCGATTTCCTTTGTTGGTTGGATTCAAGGGTTGTTGGAGTTTGATCTTGAATTAGGTTGTTGACAATCTTCTTTAAGTATTTGTAGTCAAGGAAGAATGCCGATGATTTTTGATCGAGGGCTGACGAAGCTTAATCTCGAACAGTGTTTGTTTGGTGATTCTTTGAACTTGTTGAATCGTAGAAAAAGAACAGCACAATTTTGATGTGTTTGTTGTTCTTTGTTGAATTTGAGAAAGAACGGCACAGCTTTGGATGTGCTTGTTGTTCTTCGCCTTCAGAGAGAATTTGTTAAATTTGGTGAAGAACGGCACGATTTGATATGCTTGTTGCTCTTTGCCTTCAGGTTTGGATGTTGGGGATGAATATCGGCAGCGCTTCTGTATTTACTCTGGAATTCTAAATCTTTGGATCCCTCTAGATTTTTGGCCCTCTGGATTTCTGAGTCTCCCAATTTCTGGACCCCTTGCTTCTTCCTCCAGGTCTCTATTTATAGGCTTCTTGGATTAATAAGATGATGACACGTGTCCTCTCCTGATAAGGATAAAATCATAATTGGGTCGGGCCGGTTATATTATGATAATTATCCTTAAAACTAATTATTTCAAATATATTTTATTAGGAATAATTATCTTTTCATTTAATCATCTGGGCTGAGCTAATTAAATAATTTAAGTGGACCAAATTTGGGCCAATTAAATAACTTAATTAAACATTAGACCCATATTTGATAGGTCAATTTGTTAAAACAAAAGTCCATTAAAATTTTAGTGTCTACAACATGTAAATAATAGTTGAGTCCTCAAGAATACTCAACTATATTCACCTAATCTATGACTTATATTAATTTATTTATTTACTTTTATTATTGATTTTTTTTTTTTCATCATGATTATCATCATCCTATGCGCGTATTTAAGGCTGTGGAATTCATATCAAAGAATCAAAGTTTGAGAGTATACAAAATTCCAATTTTACCCCTCAAACCCTAGATTGATGCAAAATGAAGAACAGTTGATGCGGTTGATACTTTAAACTTGTTTTCTCACTCTTATCTTGTAATACAGATTGAGTATTGTTGACCGTAACCTCTTTTATATATTGTTTGTGAGCTGAGAGGGCTCATAAGGTCTAAGCAAGGGTGATGTGGACAGGGGAGTGCAGTGTGCACTTAGTTGTACTAGTGTGTGTGTGTGTAGAGAATTATGATAATCAATCTTTCCCTTCTCTCTCTCTGATTCACATTCATCTACTGTGAGGATGTCCAATTCTTCATTGGGTAGTCCTAGTAAGTCAGTGACAAACCACAAATTCTCTCCCCAGAATGCAAAAGCCTTGCATTGGCATGACCTTACCAACTTCAGGATTTTGAGTTTTGATATGTTTTAACCTTTATACTACCCCATAGATACCTAAAGCGTTGACATGAATGTGTTACTGGTAATCAATTACTTGTGAGACTCATTGTACTCTTTTTCTGGATATAGTGGATTGATGCACTATCGGGCCTGCATAACCACAACTCTCACTTGTAACAAAGCAACTTGCCCAAATTATTGAATTGATCATACAGAAATATTTTCAGAACTATTTTTGAAAAAGCCTAAAATCTCATTTAAGAAAGAGCAGATCAGTTCAGTAATAATATCCTTTGTTACTGCAAAGCCCATACGAGATCCAATGTATCAGATTACAAATTGTAATAAAGACCCTTTTTTTTTATTCCTTCCCATTGTCATGAAAAGGTCACAAAGACCCTTTTTTTCGGTTTATGGTGGTGGTTAGCAGAATTCACCAGCATGACAGAAAATAAAGTTCAATTCCGACCAAATAGACGACCAGTTAAAAAAATACCCGTGATCCTTGCTAAACACCAATTAAAGGAAATAAGAAGGAACCCTCCATATGGACTCTCTAAAGTTGAGAGATGCTGCCACTAAGGAAATAATTGCCATCACTTGGCCAGCATCATCCTCACAAATTCCTCATAGTTCACTTGACCGTCGCCATCAATATCTGCTTCCCTTATCATCTCATCCACTTCATCATCAGTCAATTTCTCCCCCAGATTTGTCATTACATGACGAAGCTGCAAACATTCAAATTAAGTATGTTTCTCGTTTCATTAAACAATTAAATTGACAGACAAGCAAGTAGAATCAATACGTGATCCTTACCTCTGCAGCAGAAATAAAGCCATTCTGATCTTTATCAAAGACCTTGAAAGCTTCTTTGAGTTCCTCCTCTGAATCAGTGTCCTTCACCAGAAGAAAAGTATGATTACATTACAATGTGTGTACATCTATCATGTACTCAAAACAGTTAAGAACTCATTCTTGTTATGGCCCCATATTATATAAATATAACATAATTTTTCTTTGGTAGGGTATATACGATTATCACTTGACTAAGACTACTCCAATCCTCCATCACGCACTGCATGTGTACTTGTATGCGTGCACACCCACCCAATGTGTAAGTGCGTGTGCGCGTGTGAGAGCAAAGATTATTTATACTTGACTTACACCAGTAAATAACTTCACGTTGGACCTAAAGAAATTGCATTGAAAAACTAATTTATATACATATAAGAACTGCCAAACATTATATTTCTTCTTCTTTTTTTCTTTATTTTTTTAAAAAAATATATATATATATATATATATATATATATATATATAGTATGACATGCAGTTGACTAGTCAATGAATGTAGCCAATCATGAGTTCTAAACCAGGTGAAAACATGGTGGCAAATTGTCCCCTTATGGCCCAAAGTATAAAATTTCTACAACCCAAGATACAAGACATTTGTAAAAAATTCAAATATAAGTGCATATATGTTTCAGGATGATTTGCGGCATGTAGCAGCCTCAAGCTGCAGTCATAAGTTAAATAATCAGCATGGTTAAGCAACTTTTACAATTAAAACAAGATTATAGATGTTTATATTAACAATAGCTAATTGATTTGCATTTATACAAACCAAGGGATATTGCTTCCACAACCTGAGATACAAGCATAATATGTGCAAAAATTTGGAATCATGCATGTCTCAGACTTTCAGGATGATTTAGAACATGTAGCACCTCAAACCAGTCATGAATTAAATAGTCAGCAAGGCTCAATTAACTGGTACACTTATAAAAAGATCACAAGATGATTGAAATTGACAAAAAGCTAGTTGATTTGAGTTTGTACTGAAATGAAGACCAACAGAAATGCGTCAATATAAATATATATATATATATATATACATATACACACACTCATACATACATCCATACATACATACATATTAAATATATATATATATATATGCAAGGATCAAAGGATTATAAGTTTGCAAAAAGCATGCTATTCTTTGATCACCAAATTATCATCTTGCTGAAGAAACTATACTTCTGCATAGTAAACACTAAAACGCAAAGCATTTTGATAAGTACCCCAAAAAGAGATTTATTCACGGCGACAAGTGGACCAAACAGCCAAATGTTGTAGGCAAAGGTCAACTCAGATTTAAAAAATGTAAAATTAAGGCCAAGAAGGTGGGGAACATGAAAAAAGATAAAAACAAAATAAAATAAATAATAATAATACTAATAAACCTTGGGCTGCATGCTCTGAACAAGCATGTGCTCAGAACCAAAGCCTAATATCCGAACATCACAGGCATAAACAGAATCAGTCTCTGGGTTTTGCTAAGAATTTGGAGCCCAATAAATGTACAGAATTGAACCCACCTTCATTTTTCGTGCCATCAAATTCAGGAACTCAGGAAAATCAATGGTACCATTTTGATCAGCATCAACTTCATTGATCATATCTTGCAGTTCAGCTTCAGTGGGATTTTGTCCCAGAGATCTCATCACTGTACCCAACTCTTTGGTAGTTATACAGCCTGTAAAATCAATTCAGACATCAAAAAAGAAATTTCATTTGTCAGACAACAGTTTCAATCTAGAAGTAGTAACATAAAAGAATAAATAAGTACAACCACAAGAGAGTAACAAAACAACTGGAAAAGAAAATCAATAATAATAATGGTTGCATGGCAAACAGAAAAAGTTTGTCATAAGTTTGTGTCCCATGCCTTTAAGGAACTTTTAGCTATTCCTGTTCTATCCTGTGAAGACAATATTACACAAGAATTTTACAGTTCAAAACTCAGACATCAAGTGCAATAAGTGTGATCATTGAAGCCAAAAGGCACCAAGTGATTTCAATATGTTTCTTCATATGGTTCAAGCTCACTTCAAGCTTAGTGAAAACTTGATTTATTGAGTTTGAGTATGGCTTGATATATTAACAAGCTGCTCATGTTGGACTCAGGCTCAAACAGACAAGAAAGTTGGCATTTGAGAGGGGGGAAAAGAGTTGTTATATAATTCATATCAACTCTCCCTATCACACAAACACATGGGAGAGAAGGAGAGAGAGGAGGGGGGGTATTCTGTCTTCTCACATTTCTCAACTGACCCAAATCTACATCACAGAAGTGAGAAGACTATGACAAACAATAAATGTGAGATCTCCATCTGATGCAATTGCTCTCCCCCCACTCGGAATCCTCTGATATATACCAACTCCACTACCCTCTTCATCAACTTTTTGGGTGTATTATTTCATTTATAATGCAGAATTTTTGGCTTCGTCATTCTAAGGTAACATAAAGAATTTCGTAAGTGATATACTGTATTAATATGTACTAATATAAGGATTAAATATACAATGTCGGGGGATTCCACCTGGTGAATATTATTTGCATATGCATATGAGGTCACAATTGTGCTCATTGAAATTAACAAAACATCACTTACGTGAATTTGATTTGCATTTTCTAAAACATAAAGCGATTCATTTGCATGTCCAAAGTTTAGCTTCCTAACAAGCAATAGTAGAATTTCAACCTCTTTAATAGATGCCCAAAGCTATTACTAATAAGCACTAAGACTTTGTAAAAAAAATAATATTTAATTCCAACATAGAGATTTTTGAACAGCCATAACATAGATTCTGCCTTATTCTCTCCATGTCTCTCTCTTTTATATGCTTCATTTCATATGCTTTGTCAAGTTGTGTTGACATACATCACTAATATTGTAGAGTAAGCACTAAGACTTTGTAAATAAATAATATTTAATTCCAACAGAGATTTTTGAACCGTCATACAATAGACTCTGTTTTATTATCTCCATGTCTCTCTTTTATATGCTCCATTTCATATCCTTCATCAAATTGTGTTAACAACTTGACGTACAACACTAATATTGTAGAGTAATTCATCACTAAAAGTTACACCAAGCAAAGCCAAGTTGCACAGGTGCAAGGCGGCATGCACCAGTGCAATTCATGTGACTTTGTGACTTTTTATATGCTTGAAGAAACATGTGAATTATTGCACCGGTGCAATAATGGAAGAGAGGGTAAATAAGAAAGAAAAATGGATTAAGTTAGTAAGGTTGGTGGAGAGGGTAGTTTGGTCATTTCATAATAAAGATAAAAAGGGACATTTAGGTATCAAAAATATCAAATGTTTTTCCATGTCTATGTAATATAGGATCCAAAACTCCATTTGTTTCTAATTTTCCCAATTGCCACTCTTAATTTAGGGTTATTTAGGTTATTTTATTTTATTTTATTATTATTATTTTTTTGCCTAGTATGTTTTTTTAACTTCAGGGTGATTTCTTCCTTATTTTAGGGTTCCTTCGAGCTTGCCTATGATTTAGCCTGTAAGTAAGGCTCATATGTAATAAAATTATTCTAACCTTCAGACACTCTATTTTTTAATTTATCCTTGTTCCTGCACTCTTCATATCTTTTCTATTTATCTTCACATCCCTTTCTTCTTTGTTTTTCCTCTCATTTTCATGTGTTCTAGTCCTCTTATGGTTTCTTATCCTGCATCACCTGGTCAACCTCCCCTTTAGTTGACCTGATTCTAGGTTTACCAAATGGCATCTAAAAGGCATTACTCAGTATATGTCCCACCTATGTGGAGACCTAGCTCCTCACAAGTGGGTCATAATGCTCATTTCATTTACTAGCCCTTAATCAACAAAAATAAACAATACATTATACTATCATATGGTTTATGTGCAATTCAAAAAGTTCCAAAATCGATGGAGAGAGGCATTAACAACATACAAAGCATATAACATTGCAAAAATACAGTCACACACTAAGTCATGAACATAAACTTATTTTCCATTTTATAGATTTTCTTGTGCAATAATTTTTATAGTGAAAAAGGTTCCTTATCCAAAATATGATCATAGACATCATAAAAAGCCCATAGCATGAATTCCAAGGTCTTAGATCATAGAAATCATAATAAGCCCAGATCATGAATTCCAAATAGTCTTTGCATGATATAAGCATAGTATGAAAGGTTTCTAACTTAAAAAATGAAAAATGGAAATATATATATATATAAATAACCCTATCAAGCCCACTAATAAAATTCATTAAATTCATTCATTAGAACCGCAAATTCATTCATTGTAAATGTCTTGAGCAATGACACAAGCTAATTTTAGCATTCAATAATTTATATATGTATAGAGTGTCAAATTGTTTTTGTCGTTGACAAAAGAAACATGAAACATGTTGAAGCGACAAAGAAAGAATATCTCAGCAATCATAATTATTCAGATGTGAAAAGTAACAAAGAGGGTGCGTAACAAGCACCAAACTTATTATATGCTTATAATTACTAATTAGTAAACAAATGCCAATCAAATCCAATTAAAATAGCCTTAACCATCTATCTTATGTCTAAAATGAACAGCTTAAGCCTCAATCATATTCATAAAAATCAAATGCCCAAAGCTTCATAACAGAATAATTTTTTTTATTTAACCAAGAAGTTTCCTTGGTTTGTCACCGCAGCTAATGAATGAACCACTGAGAATCAAAAAAGAATGGAAGAACCAACTGACCATCAAAGGAATACAAATCTAATAAAAACGAATCTTGAAATTAACCCTAATATGAGTACATGCTCTCAAATACATAATTTCACAATAGCCAAGAATAGAAGGCTGGTTAAGAGCCAATTGAAGCTAGATAAAGCCATCCAATATGATGAAAATTCAGAAAGCTACCTAGCTCTAATCATGATCCATGTCCCTATTACGCACCCCTAAACCCAAAGGAAAATAAATGTGCTCCCATGGCCGACAGAGACCAAGCATTCAGAACACATTATAATAAAGAAAGAATGGATTAGTAAAGAAAACATACATATCTAACAGTAGGCAAACAAAAGTAGTGTGTATCAATAACCATGTAGAATCTTAACCTTGCATAGTATAAAATAAGCAAGATGTATAAATGAAATTTTTGAGGGAAAAAAATGAATAAAAATTCCAAGCCCGCAAACAAGAAGGACACATAGAGAGCAAAAGAAATTGCTGAGGTTGTAAGGTTAGAAACACAAAAGACCCAAATCATTGACTTGGGTTATTTCCAAATGAACATTCAGAAAACCAGATCTGGACTAAAATAAATCACAAACAAAAACTAAACAAGCAGTTCGAACAACAAATGAAAGCTAATCAGAGAGAGAACAAAACGGAAGTTAACAATTATGCGTCTGTATATATGAAGATATACATGTGTGTGTGTGTGTGTCTGAAGAATACCATCGCCGTCCTTGTCAAATAGGCTAAAAGCTTCCTTGAACTCGGCGATCTGGTCCTCAGTTAGCTGCTCAGCCATGTCTATCAAGTATCGAGCAGAGAGAGAGAGAGAGAGAAACCGTAGACGGAGAGTCAACCCAACTAAATGAAGGTTTTAGGGTTTACTCTGGAACAAAGGCTAGAAAGAGGCACAATGCATTTTATACTTTTGGACGCCACGGTTATTACGGTACTAAATTGAATATTACTAGCATCAACATCATTATTAGGAATAGTAGTAATCAGAACTTGTTTTTCATCACCTTTTATTTATTTATTTAACATCATTACTTTTTTATAAACACAATATAAATATGCTCATTTTTAAACTCTATTTAACATTTTATTGTGTAAATTTACACATTTTGGATTATTTATTTTTATCTATTACCTTTTAGGTAAAAATAGAATACACAATAATTTTACACACGGGTATATATGTTAATAGACTGCTGGAGATAAAACAAAATTTACACATAATTTTAACATACTGTTACAGATATTCTTATGAAACATATTGTATATTTTTTTCTTTTTATATAGAAGAGAAGAAAAGAATCCCATAATTTACTATGTTAGGATAAAATAAAAATTTTTAATTATTTCACCATTATATATATCTAATAATTTATAGACATAGTACAATAATTTAAAATTTATATAATTTATAATATGGGTAAAGTACAACCACACCCTTTTAGATTTGACAAAAGGATATTCAGATGAAACTTACCTGTTTTTTGGACAAAGACACCCCTGAAGGTTCAAAAATGGACAAAGACAACCATTTACATGAGAAATTGACCAAATTACCCTTTAACCGTTTAGGAGACTTTAAACTTTGCATTTAATAAATTTGACCAGTCTATCCTCATGAACAATTTATGCATAAAAAAAAATTAAAAAACTTTATATTGTTCACTTTTTTTTTTTTTTTTTTTACTTTATAAATGTCCAAACTTCTTAAAAATGAGACGTCTAAAATGATTTTTTGATCCAATACATATATTTCAAATAAATTATATTTTGTTATTACTTCTTTTCTTTTTCTTTTTTATTTTTAAATTAAGATGCTTAATTCTTTCATTTAAAAAAATTAAATCAATCTTTTTTCCTTAAAAATAAAAAATATAGTACTAGTATAACTTTATACATCTTAAATTATATATCAAATATTATGCATTTCTCAACATAAAAGGGAAAAAATAGTAATAAAATAAAGAAAAAATAATAATAATAAAATAAAGGGAAAAAAAAAAAGGCATGCATAAAGTTAAGATACATAAAGTTATACTGATACCTATTTTCTTTTATATTGGGAAATGCATAATATTTGATATATAATTTAAGATGCATAAAGTTATATTAGTAATATATTTTTTATTTCTAAGGAAAATAGATTGTTTTAATTTTTTTAGATGAAAGAATTAAGTATCTTAATTTTTTTAAAAAAAAAAGAAAAAAGAAAAGAAGTAATAACAAAATATAATTTATTTGAAATATATGTATTGGATCAAAAAATCATTTTAGATGCCTATATTTTTAAGTTGGGACATTTATAAAGCAAAAAAAAAAAAAGTGAATAATATAATTTTTTTTTTTGTTTTTATATTTTTTTTTAATGCATAAATTGTTCATGAGGGTAAATTGGTCCAATTTATTAAATTGTAAAGTAAAAAAAAGTCTCCTAAACGATTAAAGAGTAATTTGGTCAATTTTTGATGTAAAGGGGTGTCTTTGTCCATTTTTGAACCTTTAAGGAGTGTATTTGTTCAAAAAATAGATAAGTTTGTTCCGAGTATTCGTTTGCCAAACTTCAAGGAGTGTGACGGTATTTTATCTTAATATTTAATTAAAGGGCCAAAGCTCGTCATAAGTAATAATTATCTACTCATGTTTATATGAACCAATAAGAACAGGTCACGTGTCATGCGCTTCCTGCTTTCCTACCAAATCTCCATTGGTATGGAAAGAAAGTAACCTTATTTTATTAACCAAAACCCATCCTTTGTAATAATGTAGAATATAATATAATAAGGGAATTGACTTTTAGTAAGAAAAAAAGTTGCCCGTTTTTCCTTTTTTGTCTTTTTTCATTCCTGCTTTCCCACCAAATCATGGAAAGAAAATAAGCTAATTTAATTAACGGAAACCCATCCTTTGGAATAATCTAGAACCTATATAATATGGGAATTTTTTTTAGTAAGAAAAAAAAGTTATCCAAGAACAGAGAATTTTTTCCTTTTCTCACACTTTTTCCTCTGCGGTTAAATAATGTGTGCCACATTCCATCTCACAAGCCATGTGAGACAATTTACCTCGCTGGTGGACCCTGTTCCACTATGTGTGTGTGTGTTATAGAGATAAGTTTTAAGATTTTTTAATCTACTAATACATGAGAATTTTAAAGGGTTTCAACTTCTCTATAATTATAATTTGAATTTTTCATATAATTCTACTATGGACGTGCATGTTTATAATTCGCCATTTTTTTTCTTAGCAACTAAAATATTTACATTCACATAGATCACATAAATAATGAAGTATGTTACCAAATACCTGTGCTAAATACATATATATCAACCCACACATAATGAACTATTAAATTATATATAACTCTATAAATGACCTTGTAACTATCCAAATCCATTTGATCCGAATAGTTAATCGGGTCTGTTGGTGAAAATTTTCTCTTTATAAAAGATCATTCAAGATAAAACAATAAGTAGCAAGAATTACTCCGAGAAAAGTGTATACTGCTCGATGATCTTTATTAGAGGACTAAGCCTCTGTTTATATACAAAAAGGTGGTGGAATTATGGTAGGACTCGCCTTACTTGTCTTCCAATTTATTCCATATACAATTCTTTACTAATTAAATTACTTCCTTTTATCATTATCTCCATGTCAGATTTTTCTTTTTGTAGAACATTGCTTTCAAGTAGGATCCTTCGCTTAGCAGGACTCATTGATTCTCAAATAGTCTAGGCCGGATACATCTTGGGCCAGCTGAGCTTGATTGATTAACGATCTTGGGCCGAATAGAGATTCAATTTGGGCTTGACCAGGATTGGGCTTCTATAATCCAGGAAAAGATCAAAAGCATAATTTCATATTGTAGTCATGTGGATTACTATTACTGGAGGGAGATTTTTCCCTCTGCACTTTGCCCCCAATTCGCTCTTTAATTGGACTATGGCTCCTAATTAAAAGGAAATTGAAGTTGCACAGTTGCCAATTTCGCAAGAGGCGATTCAATGAGTGTCCATTGTCATTCTGTCCCAAGAGCTTTTACAAGACTTGCTTTGGCCCTTACTGCGTTCATTAAGTTCTTTGCTTCGTCGTGAAACCAGGTTAGTTTCTCATCCACTTCTTTGATCTTGTATCATGCGCACCTCACACCCATTCACGACCACATAGAAATTGTAGATTCCGAGTCCACACCTTCGTCTTCCCCTATGTTCATTAGGGTTCCTCCCCCTAGGGTTTTTGACCCCTCTGAATCTGCGAACGATTCAGTCAGTTAAATGGATGATTCCTTACCTCAAGCTGAAGTATCCATTTTCGGGTTAGATAGTATTTTCACTAAAGAGAAGAAAAGAGTGATTTTGTCTATTCGGCGTCTCAAGTTCACTATTGAGTTTGTAATGGAGGAATTTGAAATCCCTGAAGGGGTAGAAATCGTTGAATATCCAAATAAGGCTAATTTCAGTTCAAGCGAGGGCGTCGGAGAGAATGAATTGCTTTTATCGGTTAGGCACCTTAATGCTCTTCGCTTTCTTCTTCACCCTTTCTATCACTTGGTCTTCAACAAGTTAGATCTTGCCCCTCTTCAAGTAAACCCTAACTTTCTTCGAATAGTCTCGGCTCTTCTTATTCGCCGAAGACTAGAGAGTCTTGACTTGACTCTCGCTGACCTATTAATTACTTACACCATTTCTAGGCATGGGACCAAACTTGGCCATTTTTATTTTACTTCGTCTCTTCAGACCAAACTTGGCCATTTTTATTTTACTTCGTCTCTTCAGCAAAGGATATGTACGGACCTCCCTTCCTCTGAGGAGAGGTGGAAAGAGAGTGATTATTGTTAAGGGGAACTGGTCTGTGTCTCAGTCGAATAAACTCCCCATTCCTTGCAAATTTGGGAAGCTACGTATAGAGTATTTTCCCTCTCTTCATAAAAAGTGCTCTGGTTGTTTCCCATGTCAAGTTTTACTCTTTCACCACACTTATGAATTTCTTGGTGTTTTTTCAACAACATTCCCCTCCTCTACAGCTAAGAAGAAGCTCACTTTCCTCGAAGGACAAGTTTGGAGTGATCCCCCATCTGTTGACGATTTGCTCTCTTCATCCAACCTTAAGGAAATCGCTTCTAGTGCTATAGCTGCTGATCTCATGGATTTGGCACTTCTTCGACAGCTTCCCTCTTATTGACGAGGAAAAGAAAAAAGCTGAAACTCTTAAGAAGAAGGCAGCAGAGGATCAGCCCTTTACTGTTATCCGCTCTACTGAACATGAGAAGGAGGTGTTGACCTTAAGGATTTCATCCAATGACAATCTAGGTGTTTTGATGATAACAAACCATTAATGGTGTTTAAGGACTAATGTTTACATTGAGTGTTATATAGATTATTCACATTCAAAGAATGACCTCAATGAAGCACTAAAGATCATTCAAAGTATTCCATTATTCAAGATCACATCAAGGAAAGAAATGGATACAATGAAGACATGAAGTTGCAAGGAACAAAATGCAATGTCCAAAGGTAGCTTGGACTTCAATGAGCAAGAAAGCAACTCAAAGGAAGAAAGAAAGCAATACTACCTCAAGCCTAAACGATCATGGACAATGCATGAAGAAAAGGGGTAGATAGGATGGTGAGTGTTTTGGATTCAATGTCAAAGTATTTATGAATCCATTTGAAGCTCATCTCTATAGGATCATGCATATTATCATCATTCACATATTCCTATATCCTTAGTACTAGACTTTGCACTTCATTGATAGATATTGTCATATGAAGTCTTTGCTAAGAAAGGGTTAGTTCAAGCTTGTATAAGCTTTGAAAGAACTCACAACTTAAGCTAGAAATGCTAGGACCATGCACATTAATCATAAGATTTACTTTGGTGTCTAGAAAGAAAAGGAAAAGGC